CTATACATCTTGAGGAAGAAATAGATTTAGACAGAAATATAGACTTATACAATCAACATCAACTAGATATTCTAAACCCAAGAATATTATATCAAACAGGAATTTTAAACATAAATACAGTATTAATTCGTAGTAGTAGAGAAGAAAGTCTARGAATACTAGATAAAACAGTAACTGTAGAATTATTTTTGCCAGAAACAATACAAAAAATTAAACAAACGGGAAAATATTTTGCACACATAGGACTAGTATATATATATATATATATATATATATATATATATATATATATAGGAACTGGTTTTTTTGTTAACTCAATAATTGGTGTTAACTATGTAAACCAATCTTAACACTAGTCCTTGAAATACATGGATTAAATCACGACATATTTGAAACAAATGAAAATTTTGAACAAAAATAAATATTGGTGAACAATCTAGAACATGAGTATTTGTGGAAAAGATCATGGCATATGAACAACTATGAAAAATCTTATTAAACACTTATGAACACCATATAGTTATAGACATAATTTTATGAACGCCTTATGGTTATGAACACATATGAGTACATTAATCTTATAAATATCTTATGGTTATGAAAACATTCTACTAAACAAATATGAGCATCATTAAATTTCATAAAAGTAATTTACATACAGATAATTGTAATATCACATTAAATACCATAAAAAGAACTTATATATAAAAATTACTTATTTGACCTTCATAATCAAATCAAACATTTTAAATAACTTATATTAAAGAATGAATCATATTGGTTCAATAAGTTTATAAAATTAACATCATATTCTTGGTTAACAAAATATCTTAACCCCTTTCTCTCTCTACACACACACACACACACACACACACACACATATATATATATATATATATATGCACATATACATACATATATATACATAGACTTGGGATCATTTAAGATAAGGTTGTTTTTGTGAGACACGTGGAACACGATTTTTACACTTAAAACTTCACAGCAAAACATTGTGAAAGTAACTTTTACAGTGTTTTTGCTATGAAGATTCGACTTTTTTTTTTTTACTTTCACAACATTTTGTTGCAAAGTTTCAAGTGTAAAAATCGTGTCTCACGTGCTTCACTAAAACAACATTGTCTCACGTGAACCCAACCCCATATACATACACATACATAATACACATAAATATACATAATACATATATATATATATATATATATATAAGTGATTTATTATACAACCCATTACATATATACAACTAATGCAACTCAATCTCTACCGTACATTTAATATGATGAATATGTTATTTCATAAATTTCTTGATTGTTTCATAATATAAAACACTGATCATAATTAATGAACCCTAATCATCTTCTACAAAAATTCAAACCACAATAAATAAACTCTTATCATTTCCATAAATATCTCAATTGATTGAGTTATATTGGTTGTACAAATATAATGAACTGTATTTGAAAAGTCCTCTGTGTGTGTGTATATATATATTTGTATGTATGTACGTATATGTGTATATATATTAATTAACCTTAATCATTTTCCATAAACATTAAAGTCATAATAAATGAACTCTTGTCATTTTCATAAATATCTCAATTGACTAAGTTACATAGAATCAAGTTTATAGAAAAACCGTAAAAAACTGAGAAACACACTGATAATCATTCATTTGGACGGTATACACATGTATATACTGGTAATTTTAAGCAATTTTTCTGGTATGCACATATGCATAATATGCACTAATCTATAAAAACCAAGAAACAATGTTTATTACTAGTATGCACAATTGCATATCATACAAATAAACGGTTATTAAAATAAATCTCAAATTTTCATTTGTTTGAGTTTTTCCTTTTAACCTCCCTTACATATTACTATTTTTTATATACCACAATATAAATAGTTGTTTTTACATTTGTAATTGTAAGGTACGACTTAATCTGACTTTAATGTAACAAAATACGTGTAACAAACGGTTTCAGCAATGGAGCATAAATAGCAAGTGACCCATACAACCATAGTTACTTCCATTCTCTTTGATTTGGTGCATACATGGATCAAGAAAAGCTGCATGTAGCAATAATCTCAAGTCCAGGAATGGGACATTTAATCCCCGTCCTCTTACTCGGCAACCGTCTAGCCACCCATCACCACCTCCACGCCACCATCCTCGCCGTCACCACCCAAACCTCTTACGTTGAATCTCAACTCCTGGCCTCCCTCATGGACTCCCGGCACATCAACATCATCAAAATCCCATTAGTAGACATCTCCAACCTACTCCACCCGAACGACGCCGTCGTCACCCAGCTAGCTGTCATGATGCGAGAGGCTCGACATGGTATCCGGTCAGCCATCTCCGCCATGACCCACCGTCCTGACGTCCTTATCGCCGACGTCTTCTCCAGCGAGTCACTTCCCATAGCGGATGAGTTTCATATGCGAAAGTACGTCTATGTTCCTTGCTCAGCCCGTTTCGTCTCAGTTACTACCTACTGTCATGTGCTTGATGAGGAGATCAAAGGTCAGTACGTCGACCAGAGAGAACCGCTGATGATTCCCGGTTGCGACCCGGTTCGGTGTGAAGATGTGCCTGACCCCATGCTGGATCGGAACAACCAGCAGTACAAGGAGTATGTTCGGATGGGGATTGATTTCGCCACGCTTTCTGATGGGATCTTGATGAACACGTGGACCGATTTGGAACCTAAATCGAGTGATGCGTTAAAGTTCAATAAGATCTTGCGGTCGGTAGTAAAAGTGCCGGTTTATAATATTGGACCGTTGACTAGAGAGGTTGAAGAGAGCAGTTCAAAGAAAAGTGAGGTGATCGAGTGGCTGGACAGACAGCCGCTTGAATCCGTGCTTTTCGTATCATTTGGAAGCGGAGGCACACCCTCGGCTGACCAAATAACCGAGCTGGCTTGGGGTTTAGAGCTGAGCCAACAGAGGTTTCTGTGGGTGATACGTCCACCTGCGGGCAGCTCCAATGACGGCGCTTTCTTCACTGCCGGGACGGGTACAGATGGGCCGCCGGAGTACCTTCCAGAAGGATTCTTGACCCGAACTCAGAGGGTGGGGTTGGTGTTGCCGCTGTGGGCCCCACAGGTGGAGATTTTGAATCATCGATCGGTAGGAGGGTTTCTATCACACTGTGGATTCAATTCAGTTTTGGAAAGCATAAAAGGTGGGGTGCCGATGATTGCATGGCCACTGTACGCAGAGCAGAGATTGAATGCCAGCATTGTGGCGGAGGAGCAGAAGGTGGGAGTCCGGCCGGCAGTGTTGCCGACAAAGAAGGTGGTAGGGAGGGAGGAGATAGAGCAGATGGCGAGGAGGTTGATGGAGAGCGAAGAAGGGAAGAGGATGCGAGAGAAAGTGAAAGCATTAGGGGAAAGTGCAAAGGAAGCGTTGGGGATCGAGGGTTCATCCTATAATTCAATGTGTGAGTTCATTAAATGCTGTGAAAAGAAGATGACACGTCCATAGCCTCCGCATCAAAGATCAATAATCTGGTGTGGTGGTGATCCCATCCGTTGCCGTTTCAATTTCATTAATAACCGTCGACAATTGAAGCACTGTTAACTGTCACCTCATCGTATAGGGTCAAATTTATCGGTAAGTCTTTCGACCTAAATGAAATCAGCATTGTCAAAGGTTAACACTCCACTGGAGTTGGTTCAAGCTCAATTCCATATTAACGAGTCAAATCAAGTTTGATGGCATATAATAATGAGTCAAATCAAACCATCGAATACTCAATCCAAAAAGCTCATAAATTATTTAAATTTTTTTATATATAATTAGTTTTATAATATGACTCATAAAATATAATATAAAAAGATATCATATATTTTTAAATATTTAAACAAATATGTACATCACCAACTATTAAAATTAATCAATTTTTATTTATTTATTAAAATGACACTAAAAAGACAACCATGTGAGCCAAAGAGTAGATTTTTAACGGGTAAGTTTGGTTCGAACTTAAAATGAGTTCGAGTTTCATTCAAGCTTTAAATGAATTTGAATAAAGTTTAAATTTTAACTATTTACAAGTTTTCGAGTTAAGTTTGAACCTAGAAAATGATTATATACCAATACTCGAACTTCATTCACATTATTTACACCCTTGTTGGTTCTCGATTGTCCGTCTTATAAATTAGTCAAACTTATCCATAAGTTAACACATCTAAAAGTTTTTATATATAAAACTATTAAAAACTTATAAATTTCATCTAACTTGAAACAATGTATCTTTTCAATAATTTATCAACTTCGAGAGTTTGAATTTTTTTAACAATTATATATTTTACTATTTAATATTTTAAAGTTGAATTTTGAACAACATGCATGATATATATATATATATAT